AAATGAATAATTCCATGTATTCATATCCGTGGGAAATATTCTTCTTAAAAGTGAATATTGTATGATTGGGAAAACATTTACTCCACTGCATGCACCACAAAACAAGTTTAATTGATGATTGTTCTTTTTTGTAACTTTTTGATCAGAGTAAAGAATCTAATATTCATAATTTCCATTCAACTTGTAATTGTAACACTTCATTCAAACACACTTTGGACTTGAACTATAGAACGCCAGAACTGTCTTATTATGTCCATTTGCTATTATATGATGTGCATTTGCTATTATATTATATGATTTTACCTTTATATTATGTACAAATAACTTTATATGGTGTCTAGTTGACATTATATGATGTGCAAATATACTTATATGATGTACAGTTGACATTATCTGATGTGCAAATATCCTTATATGATGTTCAAATATCCTTATTTGATGTGCAAATATCCTTATATGATGTTCAAATATCCTTATTTGATGTGCAAATATCCTTATATGATTGCAAATATCCTTATATCATCAATATATGGTATGCCCCTCTGGTATCTTTCGTCCCTCTTTTATAAGGTATGCAAATATACGTATATGATGTGCATATACATGTATATATACTTATATGATGTGCAAATATCCTTGTATGATGTAAAAATATACTTATATGATGTGCAAATATACTTATTTGATGTGCATATATATACTTATATGATGTGAAAATATACTTGTATGATGTGCAAATGTCCTTAAGTTATATGATGTGCAAATATACTTATATGAAGTGCAAATATACTTATTTAATATGCATATATACTTATATGATGTGACAATATACTTATATGATGTGCATATATACTTAAATGATGTGCAAATATCCTTATATGACGTGCACACATCCTTATATGATGTGATTTTGTCCTTATTAACATACTCTATAACAATATATTAAAAAATCAGTCCCTGACGCGCGGAAGTAGTCGAGAAGACAGAATTATTTTTTTCAGGGGTTGATAGGATACACGTAATCGTTATTAGTTTCAACTTCAAGGTTCAATTGTCCACGCACAATATTTTATATGAAATTTCGTCCGACGGACAATATTCCATGGGGGACAATATGTTCACTTTGAAATACTGTCCATGAAAACATTTCTTAATCAAATTATTACAAAATTAAAAATAGTACACAAGCATGCAGCATGCACATTTTTGAATTATATATAATAACTGAAATTATTTTGAAAAGCAAGTAACCCTTTCCAGTTTATCCAAGTTATTTTTGAAACATCATTTGTTTTCTTGTCAAAACATTTGGAATAAATTTCATTATTTTGTAAACAAAATGAAAAAGCCTTTCTTCTGATAACTCTTTTCTGATTTTCAGAAATTCCCTCCGGTAAAACATTATGTCCTTCATGGCTGAGATGTTCGAAAAGTGTTTTTTATTCCTTGCCATCCATGGTGAGCAAGCCTATTTTTTTTTATACCTGTATCTATTTATTAATCTGTGTTTATTATTTGTTATTATCAATCAAATAAAATACTTTAATGATATCATTATCCAACATGACATATGTTAATAACCTCCCCTTCATGAGACAAAATTTCATGACAATCTGTTAATGAAATATTGTCACAATACACACAAAATACTACCTCCCTTTAACAGGACAACATTTCATAGTAATCATCTGTAAAAAAATTGTCTATATACAGACAAAATTTCACAATGAAAATGTGTCCTTCTCTGGACATTTTTTCATAGATCAGGACAATATTTCATGATACATAGTCATGAAATATTGTCTTGGTGGACAATATTTCATAGGACAATATTTTGCTTTCCAGATCCACCCTTCAGAAAAGTTGTTCCGAATATAATGACCCCCCCTTTTATAAGTAAAAAAGGCTACATTTTCTTTTGTCCTTTTCTACAACACCGTAATAAGGGATATCCCTCATTCGGGAGGGGGTGGGTGTTCCGACCTGTTGTTTCGTTGTAAATCATGCGATTACTTTTCTCAATTGAATTGTTGCATACTTTTCATGTCGGGACTGTTTACAGCTGACAAGGGTTTTCCTCGTTTTTGAAGGCTGTATGGTTGCCTTTAATTGCTTTGTCATTTGAACTTCTGTGGATAGTTGTCTCATTGGCAATCATACCGCATATTCTGTTTTTATATCGATTACAGACCTGAAAAAGATGTACAAAGTTAAATATGCTGCAAACTTCAAACAACCTACTACAACTGATTTACCTGTTCTGTTGAGCAGAACTATATATTTTTGATCTCATTCCAATCCTGATACCACTATCAATCAACAAAACAAATGCAAATAATTATGATGTCTTGAAAGGTTTTTGAATAAATCTTATCAATATAAACTGTATCGCAATATAATACATGATTTTGAGCTCTTTTACAGCCGACTATACGGTATGGATTTTTCTAATTTTTGAAGGCCGTATGGTTGCCTATAATTGCTTACATCCACTTTATTTGAACTTTGGCGAATAGTTGTTATTTTTATAAATAAAACCCACGTCGATATTACACGTACAACAATCAGATATCAACCCAACGCCAAACTGACATGTAGAGGTCAATATACAGTCTGGAACAATAGAGAAAATTAAAAAAAATACAGCGAATTATTGAAAAGAATCATTAATAGCATTTGCTTTTACTGTCATCGTGTATGGCCATTTTGTTTATCGTCTAAATAGAGTCCAAACGTTTTTCATTCTACAGTTCTTTCAAGATCGTGTAAAAGTGCGTATGTATGTGTTTGCTTGACTTTTGTATTGAAAATAAAGCTAATTTGATTTATCATTCCTCAAATGCAATATTTAATTGGAAGTTTAATAGCACAGAAATTTGTATCCGCTAAAGGTTACGTAACAGACTTCATTTACGAACCCAGTGATTCAAGAAATTCACCGCCCTCTGACGGCTAATCTATCTTATTACCAATGGTAGTTTGTGGTATTAAGATATAGCATTACCGGACTGGTTTACGATGCCCGGTATTTCGTATGGAAACAGTTTAAATGAAACGATCTAGATTTTGAAATTTTCTTCTTCTGTAAGATATACGGCAAATGCTTTTTCCAGCGCTACTTATTTCCATCACAACTGAATCAATAATATATGTATACATACAGAGGTCGGATGGGAAATATTCTGCATATGCCCAAATTAATATTTAAATTAGGTTAAGTTGCGACGGCGGTTTTCATTGGCTGCTAAAAGGATACATGGTGCTCTCAAACTCCCATCATCCAATGCTGCATCCTAAAGCGTCCATCTTCCATATTTCTTACCACTGCGATAAAGAAAAAGCTATATTTTGTCGACATTTTGATAATATATCTGAATAGATATTGAGAGTCTGTGTATATATATATTTCCTCTTTTATACGGCATCGTATTTTTGAGACAAACTAGCAAGAAAACTACGACGATAGCGTATTTTTGGTATCCGGTCGTTCCGTCCCCAAACCGATCCGGCCCCAAGTCGATCCGGCCCAAAGTCGATCCGTCCCAAGTCGATCCGGCCCACGTCGATCCGTCCCTACGTCGATCCGGCCCCATAATAAAATATGAATAAACTATATTGACTTTGGAGGATTTTGTAACAAATTTTAACAGTATTTATTTAAATGGAATTTGTAAAAATGATGGATGACAACAGGTAAGTGAAGTATTGGAGTACCAGTCAAAGAATTATTTTAAATCGATACGAAAATGAGTGTGATTGTGTCTGTTTATATAGCAGCGTCAACATATTAATATGAAGTTATTTTCCATGATAACTTTGAACGTCATGGCGATTTTTATTTTATTTAATTCACACACAGAAAAGCTTAATAAATATTTACAGTCCAATGGAACCTATGAAATTTAACTCATCATATTGACTTATCAAATCATTAGTCTATAATTGGTTTGTTTATTCAACAATTGTCTAATGATTGTGAACTAAGGTAATGTCACTCGTGATCACTTAATTCAATCAAATCCTGATTGATTAAAGTTACGTAATCACTGGTCTTTATAGTTTGATCTTTTGTTTGGTGTTATGTGTTATAATAATTAATTGTATTTTTTTTCAGGTAACATAAGAGGCTTCTATAAAACGTTTTTTTTTTTGTTGTAATATTGAATATAGTCAATATATTTTTTTTAAGTTGACAATATTTTGAATAGTTGTGTGTAGATAAAAAAAACAAGTTATATGAGTATCCATTATTCTTTATTGTAAGATAATAACAAAATAATTACACTCGATGCACGTGAAGATCACATCTATTTCTTCATTTACCATGCGTCTGTATTCCAGTAGAGATACTCCTATAAAGGAATTTAAAAAAAGTAAATATCTATCTTTATAATGTAAAATACAAATATATAATACAAAAAAATAGAATTTATAAGCTTTTTGCCATTTAACACCTGAAAAACACGGAAGTTAATATTCCCAGATTTAAAACAAAACTATATACTTTTTTTCATATTTATAGAAAGGATTCGGCAAATCAAACATTTCTTTTAAGAACTTAAAACAAAAAACAAAGTTTGTATGTATCAGCTTGGGGATCGGCTTGTACCGTTGTGTATGTAACTATTTGTTATTACAAAGGATCACAGTCAATTGAAAGAAAATGCTAATTACTGCTGATTAATGTTGATTATAATTATACCCAATAATCTTGAAAACTTGTAATGAAAACATAATCAACATAGTTGTTTTAAACTCTTTTAAAGAAAATATTTGTCAAAGGCCATTTTTTTTTACCGTACACCTTTTACATTATAATAAAATTCATAAACATTTATGAATTACAATTAATATATATCTTTATTTTTAATCCTCATAAATATATTTTTTTATTGGGCCGGATCGACTTTAAATATGGGCCGGATCGACGTTGGGCCGGATCGACGTGGGACGGATCGACTTGGGCCGGATCGACGTGGGGCCGGATCGACATGAAAGCGTATTTTTCTGTCTAAATCTTTTGGTACCAAAACCAAAATTATTTCTGAAAATAGATTTGTATATATTTGTAAATAATTGTTGTACATAAAACGAGACATAAAGTAGCCAGCTAAGTTTTTTATTGACACAGAATATAGTCCGTTTGACTGTTACGTCTTAGTGTTTTGTATTTGCCTGCAGTTGAAGGAATTTTGTAGTATTTAAATTTTTTAACATATTTGATCGATATTGTTTCATACTTGTATTATAGAAATGTTTAACACTAACCTAAATAAAGTTTTGAGAAGCGTTTTAATTGCAGGGGATTCCAACCTGAAGCAGCTTGTACCAATGTTTGAATACCCAGTTAGAACACTGTGCATACCTGGTGCCAAAGTACAGAATGACCGGAAAGAATTCTATTCCCAACTGATGAGTGCCATGAAGACAGAAAACCCGGACCAGATTGTTCTGCATCTAGGTTCGAATGATGTATTTGGTGATGTTGAATCAACTTTGAGGTAAGGAGGTTTAAAAAAAACAAATACAAAAATTTATACCGGTAGTCAACTTTCGATTTGTGCACTTCCCTTAAAATCCCCTCTAGTATGTAACAATACACCTAATCGCTATTTGTCCGCCATTACTGGAAATCACAAAGGTTCCCGTGAAATTTTGACGCCACAATGGAAAAGTGATTGTTGTATGACATCAAAAGTTTAAGCGGCGCAGATTCTCAGGCCCACTGGCGCAGATTTCCAAATATCGATAAGGTGTATGGTTATGTTATTACGTCACAGTAAAAACGGATTGTTCAATGACATCATTTATGCCGATTGACCCCGAGTCAACCAGTGGTGCTCATTCATTAAAAAACAACTCGAGATTGGTGTATTGTAAACCTGTTTGCTGATACTATATAAAAATAAAAGAGATGAGGTATAATTTCCCATTAGATGACTATCCACCAAAGTTCAAATGTAGTGTATGTAAGCAATCATGAGGTTTGAAATAGGGGACCTTCATGACGAACAATGTTAAAAATTCTTGCCAAATGATGTTTTTGGTGCATTACCATGATTACGATAAAATTTACATGTTTTTTATGACGATAAAAAAAAATGAATGAATTTGGCGGAACACATTAAATTCTTTCCCAAAATAACGGTAACCGATAATTATTTGAGATCTTTGACAAATCATGTAATTTGATTGGCTGATTATTATTGATTTCAAAGAAACATTTGTTATATATAATATAAAATTACCTAGTTTCTAATGGTAATGAATTTGGCAGATATAGCTTACCTTTTAATTATAAACAATAGGTTGAATAATCTTATTTACTAAAAAATAATGAATATGATGAATATTATTTGCCTCGTGTACAAGTTTCTTATTTTGTCTTTAGATCTTATAGATTCCTGATAGAGAATTTGCTGCTGAAATTTAAATCGTTGCAAATAGGTATTTGTGGCATACTTCCCCGTGCAGTAAACCACTATGAGAGTAGTTATTGGAACATGTCAGCATTGCCAAGACTGCAGAGAGATGTCGAGAAGTTGAACGCTGGTATACAGTCTTTAACTTGTGGTTACAGTAGATGTTTTTTATTGATTATGCACAGCTCTTTAAACCTGCTGTTCATCTTGGAAGGGACGGACTTCATGTAAATAGAAATGGAGCTTTTATTTTGAAGATGACTATAGAGAACTATTTAGCAGAGAGACAAAAGTGTGTTACATCCGTGACTGCAACCTTATCTCACGTACAGGTACCTGATGTAGAATCTTTGTCACCCAAGATGACCTATGCAGAAGTGGTGAGACTACCAGTACCTTCTTCTGATACAGGAAAGAGACCTTTTGACACGGTATTTAATAGATTGTGTATAAGACTAGATGAAAGCATATTTGTATTTGTCTATCACTATCTTGCATGTCTGACAAATAACTTGTTAGAAATTAACATTTGATTTTCTATGATATTTTATAAATGGTCTCCCTGGCATTTTAATTCAGGTTTTTAAATGCAGGCTCTGCCTTTGAAAAAAATAAAAGTACATTTGTTGATTGTACATGTTGATGTACTAGATAAGAAATTGAATTATAAACAAATCATAACATGATAATGACATAAGTATTACAAAATAATGGATTTACTTTGAATATTATCTTTTTGTGAGGTGTTTATTATAGTTAACACAATTGAAACGGTTTCCTTACTGTTTATGCAGGAACATATATATTGACGGGACTTGACACTACCTAATTGTAGCCAATTTTATCGTCGTGTCATAGGTAATAAAGATACGATACGGAAACGGACATGTTTCAAAAACGTACTCGCTATTATCCTAATAATTTCTGATAATATCAATAAAATGTCATTCAAACTAGTTTTACAGTTGTATCAAACTTGTATTCTGTCACTTCAAGTTTGTTATAATTGCATTCATTTTATCACAGAATGGTACAGAATGCAAACGGTATTAAAAAAATGGTGCCGATTGCATTCCCAAATTCAAAAACATTATAAAACACTTCACATCAAATAAATCACACTTATTTTGGTCATTTTATATGACAAAATATATCTACTTTATGATAAAACTTGTATTTATTTACGATTAGAATTATGTGATTACTTTATTGAGCAGTTCCGATAAATTTTCAGTCAGACGCCACCAAAATCCATAAATCTTACGAAGTCTCGAGGAGTCCGAGATTTTATCAATTTTATACTGGAAAGCCTATCCGATTCATTTCCCGTTAGATATACTGTTCCCAGGTTTATGTAACTGCTGATTTTATATGATATGTACATGTATTAACATTTGTCTTTGATTGATGTTGAGAATTACATTTGAATGTTTATTACAGGATGCTGAACATCAGAATTCCTCTAGAACCCCTTCTAAGAGGAAGAGATTGTCTTCAGCTGGGGCAAGAAGATCAAATAATAAAAGAGTAAGTGAAAAATTAAAATTTGTACTATTTAAAATAGAAAATATCATTTTATAATACAAAACAAAGATAATATCATAAAATCATAGATTCTCTATAAGTTCATAAGCAGCTATGATAGACCCTAATTTAAAGTTATAGGATAAATTGCTAATAGATAAAAAAAAATATAGTACTGCTAACATGCATTTTATTGACATTTCATTGGAAAATATACCTGTCATATTTTATATGTATTTTGAATTAATAAAGATGGGATGTTAACAAAGTTCGGTGCTATATTTTTTAAAAGACTTATAAATTTATAGTATATAAATAAGTTAAAAAAACATAACTGATTAAAGGTTTGTGTCCTTGTTTTTAAGATGTAAGCCATTTAAAATTTGGTGGGAATTTATTCTCTCTAGATTTTCCATACATTTAACTTTAGCACCTTTTTCTTTTAAAAACTATGTAAAATAAAAATAAAAGGCTTTTTAAACTATATGTTATAAATTAGGAAAAGAATAGACGGAGTTAGCATTCAAATTTTTTGATGGAACTACATGTGAATAAAACCAGAGGATTACCAATATCTGTCAAAAACAAAGACTAGCAAACATCCTTAAATGATTTGAACAAAAATTATATAACTTTATTTGTTTTCATTACCTTCTTAATTTAGTCTCACAGAAAACCAAGAGGAACTTATAAAACAGGGTTTGTCATCGTTGCATTATTGTGTTACCTTTTAATGTGTTTTTGTTATTGTAATTACTTGAATGAAGAAGTTTTTTGATTTACAACTCCATTGATGTCTTACTAACATGAATGCATGATGTTGAACAAAACTTTGAAAGTTAATCGTTATAAGTTGAAGTATTCTAATTAATTTTAAATGACCACTAAATACCATGGCATGCCTATAAAAAGTTGATATTTTTTTTCTTTTTGTAATTACTTGAATGAAGTATTTTTTTGTGGTTTAAAACTTCATTGATATCTTACTAGCATGAATGCATGATGTTGAAGAAAACTTTGGAAATTTATCGTTATAAGTTTAATTATTCTAATTTTATTTTAAATGCACACTAAATACCATGGCATGCTTTTTAAAAGTTGATATTCAAGTGTTTTAAATGCTTGCATGTTAAAAAAATTGCAACAAAACTTCATGAGGCAACAACAATTTTAGTGTTTCTAATTTAAAATACTATCAAGGAGCTTTTACTTTAAAGGAGAGGTTATATAGAAGTCTGAAAACAAGTACACATATGATGTATATATAAATACTATAGCACATTTGAATTTATATTGTATTGCAGAAGATTCATTTGTACATGCTTAAAAAAAGGTTGAAAACAATGAAATATGAATAACAAAATCCTTTAATCCAAGATTGTACCACAACTTAAATCTCTTCATAGTTTTAAACTGTTATATTTTTCTAATTCTACTTCCACTTCTTATAGATACAGTTTAAAGAGGAATGAAATAGTCCTAGATGTTACTGAGGATCTGGCTGTTATCTTGTCATCCTCAGTCATTCATAGTTTCTATCAGGTATTGTTATGTTTACTTAAAGACTTATGCTGATATTGAAATGCAGAAAATTAAAATATCATTTATCTCAACATTTAATTTTTTAATCCCTACAAAGTATATAGAAAGATTAATGAGACATAATTTTTGAATTCAAAGGCAAAAACATTTAAAGAATACAATAAGTCGCAAGTACAATGTTGCTTGAATACATTTTTTACTCTATCCTTAATACTTTCTTGTGCTTGATTTTGTTAAGTTAATATTTCTATAAAGCTTAAATTATTCAATTACCCTGTTATATCATAGGAAATGTACTGAATTATTGGACTTGAATATTCATTTTATTGCAAAAAGGAAGATATTTGAATAATTATTGCATTTATTTTAGACTGACACGAAAAAGCAATCTGTGGAATCCTCACAAGTGAAGCAATCAAAGAAAACAGCTGTGACTAAGAAAGAAAAAAAAGTAATCTTGTTACATAGTTTCTATTCAGTTCAAATATTTACACCAAATAATAACATAAGTTAATTAGAATTTTTTTTAAATAATCTATGTAAACGTTTTGAATTCGGTGTATTTCTATCTTGCGTCTCTATATTAATTTTTTAATAGATTGAACAGAAAAGGCAGATACAATAGTTTTTGTACTGACATGATTATTTTCTGCTTTTAAACATTATTTTACTGTCAGTATTTTGTTTTTTTGTGGGTGTTTGATTTTTTTTACCAGACATCCAGAGGAAGGTGGTATTTAATCTTGTTTACCTACAGATATTGAAATTTGCAAATCATACCAGATTGATAGATGTATGATATATCAAAAGTTGTTTATTTAAAGTTCAATATGCAATATTGTTTCAGAGCACTTATAATTGTCCTGTTTGTCCAGTAATATGCTCCAGAGAAGATTTTCTGATAGACCATGTTATTTGCTGTCATGCTAAAAAAGGTTTGGTAGTAAAACTTCTTATAATTTAAGTATTGTGCTTTTCAGTTATGATATTTTTGGTATATAGAATGATTTTCGAAATCACACAATAGGCATTTTTACATTATAGTGGTCAATATTAGGATTAATATAGGATTGAATGAGACTTCTCAGGACCAGTATGAGCAGTATTAAAGTGCCTTCCCTGGGTATAATGTATTATAATAGGAACAGGAATGAGTATATATTAATTAAGCACATTCAAAAATGTATTTAGTCCTCACATAAATCCGTTTGTATGTTTTCAAATATGCAGATTACTTCAGTCCGTTTATTTTACTATATTATTAATATACAGTTATCACACATACATATGATATAACAGGAACTATAAAAACAATTGTTACAAGGCAAGCAACACCTCACAGAAAAAAGACACCTCACAATTTTAGACAATGAACTGAACATACATGGACTAGATACCCTTACAGTTTGTTTTTATTACTGTTTTTTTATATTGAGATAAAACAATAATTTACTAAACTGATAATTCTGTATTTTAAGAATGAATATTATTTAATCTCAAAAATATGGATTAACTTTGGTGATCCAAAAGAGTAAACAATTTCTCATAGGCACTTTCCAGGTTATTTAAGATATTACTGGTATTAAATATATTTAAATTTCCTATGCTTGCACACCTCTAGAAAATGAATGATATGTACAGTCGAATAGGATTGCTGAATGCAAATAGATATGTATATGTTAAAACTTATGATGTCTTTTTTTTTTTTTCCAGGCAAAACTCACTTAGTCAAAGATCTTTCTCTTCAGGTTTGTAATGTTTGGAATTCATTATTTCTGGTGATAATCATTTGAAAATGTGGTGAATTAGTTTTTGTAATTATTTTATGCGGTATAAAAGAAATGTTTGAATTATTGGTTGTTTCTATATACACAAGGAAAAAAGAGAAGAAATGCATGTACCAATCTGACAATTTATTACTTATAGATACCTTTTTACAAATTTATTTAGGTTTTTGAAAAATTACTTTTTTATTTTGCTAGGTACCAATAACTGAGGAACCTGTAGAGGAGCTTAGGAGTTCCTATGACGAGACTGATAAACACATAGCATATGGTAGTGTATACATAGGTAAGAGTGTTATAGGAATTTTAATGTATTGGATGACATAATCTTTTCCACTATATTAAATATTGCAATAGACTTATTACAAATGAAATAGTATGGGCTTCACTCAAAAAGATGTGTCTTTTTTCCCTTGTGCATTTTGTGTATCTTACCTTTCAAATTAGGGTGCTATTTTATTTTTTCCTTGTCTACAGTTACATTTTAAAGCTAGATTGCAACATTTATGCTCTATTATTAATATATTATTTGTGTGCTATGTCCCTATTTAAGCTTAATTTTCGAAATCACACCACTTCCAGTCATATATTGATTATAAAATTCTGAAGCCAGCAAATCAGCTAGGTCTAGGTCAATTGAACAAACTTCTAAGCAAGTCCTTTATTGTTACAGAGGGTTATGAAGTGGATTGTATTATTCCATCACAAACAGAGTTTGCAGAGAGTGATGAAGTGGAGTGTAGTATTCCAACAACAATAGAGTTTGCAGAGAGTGATGAACTGGAGTATAGTATTTCAACAATAGAATTTGCAGAGAGTGATGAAGTGGAGTGTGGTATTCCAACAACAATAGATTTTGCAGAGACTGAGGAAGTGGAGTCTAGTAGTCCCACAAGAATAGAGTTTGCACTAACGACAGTGAAGGTTTTGGCAAGCAGATGTTGGAAGAACTTCAAAAGGTTTATCCTGCATCTCTGTGGGGATGTTGAAGAAAATCCAGGACCTACAATGGTAGATGTAAAATATATTTATATTACATGATTTTTTAACCAATATGTCCACTTATGACAATTTAATTAAAAACCCTATTTGACTATAAAATGTACAGGATAATAACAATGAAGAATGCAACAACTTCCTAAAAAAATCAGACAGCGGATGCCCAATACATTTATGTTTTTTTATGATATAACAGATATATGAAATACATGTTGTATAGGTTCATATAATTTTTATGAAGTGATTTTCAGGTATATAAACTTCTATAACAATTTGTTTATTATATATGCTTTTATTTTCTTTCAGCTGAAGTGCAAGTGGGAGCAGTGTACAGAGGACAAGTTCGCTGATATTCGTCTATTAGCCCAGCATGTGATTTCGCACATTCATCCTGGAATTCTTTGCCAATGGGAAGAATGTGTATATTGTTGTCCAAATGAACAATACAAACTGGAAATTCATGTGCTACAACATATATACTTGGTACAGATTTTAATTGAAATTATATATAAAAATAAAAAAGATGTGGTATGATTGCCAATGAGACAACTCTCCACCAGAGACCAAATGATGTGGAAGTTAACAACTATAGGTCACCATACAGCCTTCAACAATGATCAAAACCAATACCGCAGATGAAGCTATGAATGAAAGGCTTGAAGTGAAAAGTATATAACAATTCAAACAAGAGAACTAACAGCCTTATATATGTACAAACAATAAATGAAAAACAAATATGATATACAGCAACAAACGACTAACACTGAATTGCAGGCTCCTGACTTGGGACATGCACAAATACATACAGAATATGGCGACGTTAAACATGTTTGCTGGAGCCAAACCCCATCCAACCCCCTCCACTTTAACCTGGGACAGTGGTATAACAGTACAACATCAGAACAAGATATAAGTAACAGTTGAAAAGGACTTAAAATATCTGATTGATACAAAGCGACAAAAAACTGACAAAAACACAAAAGACACAAAGTATAGATTTGAGAGTACTCAGAGTTACTGAAAACTAGATCAAAGCCAAAAATAACTAATAAAAAACATGTATCTAAGACTATGTGCAATTACTAGTTTCACAAGTTATTTAGGGAAAAGAAAATAGATTAAAGAACATCATAATTTCACCCAAAAGAAAAAAAAGAAAGTATCTTTGTATTGCTGAGGCTAATTGTTATGTCTCAATCAATGGAGATCATATTATATATATTACCATGTAAATTGTACGAATTTTCTTTAAATAATGCGGAGACATTGATTTTAAAGCATTTTTATTTGTAGGAACAGTTTACTTTTCAGTCAATTGAAGAATGGGGAAGAGCACTTCCTTCTGGACAGTTTTCAGAGAATTGTACTGATCTTCACTTGTGTCCTCCTAATTTGGTGAGGTTATGTCCATTTCAGCCTAATATAAAAATTAAAAAAACCACTTTTGTACAATCATTCAACATTGCATATTCCATATCAATTTTTATTTATTAGTATTTGAAATATGTAGTATGATCGACAATGAAACAACTATCAAACAGAGTCTAAAGAATGTAGATTTTAGCGACTAAAAGTCACTACAATCTTCAACAATGAGCTATACCTATACCATATAATTAGCTTTAAAAGGGCACAACATGAAAAATGTGAAATTAAAAAACAGTCTGATATATTTTTAAAAAAAATAACGAAAAAATAGATATGTATTGTTTACAGAATATAAAAATAAGAAGATGCAGTATGATTGCCAATGAGACAACTCTCCACAAGAGACAGATTGCCATAGAAAATTAAAAACTATAGGTCACCCTACAGCTTTCAGCAATTATGTTCATTATTTCAGCAAATATTATATTTAATTTATCATTGGTATGCTAAATGTTCATTAATGACCTTCACAATAGAAAATAAATCTGCCATCAAGAACCTACATGTATTAATTCAATATCGGAAATTTGCATTATAAGATGTCTCAAATACTAAAAACAAATACGATATGTTATAATGCACACACATATATGTAATATATAATATATATTTATACTTATTTTTGTTGCAGAAAATTAAGTTAGGCCTCCCATTGTTAGATGAAGAATTTAGTATGCCATCTCAGTACCCGTATACTGTTAAAGATCATCAGCTTTATGTACTACAATTACAGACAGAGAATCCAGAAAATTATGAAAGATTAGTATCTGCCTTTCAACAAAAGGTTGAAACCATGAGTGATACTACAGCTAGTCAATCTAGAACTGAACCCTCAACTTCTACTAGTGGTAATACCACAGAGCTGACAATCCAGGGAATTGATCAATTGGCTGTCTTGAACTCTAACATGACACGCTCAAGTCAACAGGTTATTGTCACAAAGTACAGTAAAATTTACACTCAGAGATGAAACAGAAATAGTAACAAGGAAGTATATCTCAAGCAACTCTAAGAAGAGAAAATACGTAGCCTCCAGCATTCAAAACCTTAATGATAGAAACATGACCGAAAATGATCTAATACTGTAAATTCAGAAATTATTGCGAGGTTTTTATTAATGCGAATAATGCGACTCGGTGAGTATCGCAATAATAAGAACTCGCATTTTGATAAATAAAGCGTTGATCTAAACGTAGATTGTTCTGAAATCGCATTAATTAAACTCGCATTCTTGCCCATTTTTGAAAAATCGCAATAATAAATGCCCGCAATAATTTCTGAATTTACAGTAACAAACTTAAATATGTGTAGACAGGCTATTTTGGTGGAACATAATATAATCAGCAAAATGCAAGATATGAAATTTCTTGATCCAAATAATTGTCTATTTTTATTTGAGGAAGCTGCTATTAATATGTCAACTTATCCAGACTGCTCTGAAGGAGTTTTCATTTTTTTAATCTTTGATATTGAGATTGAAAATCACAATGCACCTGTACATTATATACGATACATAGAATCAGGATATTACAAACATTTCATGGAGGAGACTTTTCTGGATGTAATATGTCAAACGTTAGGAATTCTGCAAGATAATGTATTCTTATGCAACATCCTAACTGGTGGAGATCAGCAGAGAATGCTCATCGAAAAGAAAAACAAGGACTCAAGAAAATCTAGAAGACGCCCTGACAAAATTTATGCCAACAATTTAAAGAGCTTAAAATCTAGAAGACAACAATTGTGTGAAAAAGTTAAAGACTTTTGTGACATTGAACTAGCTGCTTGTTTTGTGCACACTGCTAGACATGGTTATAAAGTTAAGATAGATTCAGATGCCAGTGATGGTCTTTACTTTTCATCTAACAATGAACTATTCCACACAGAAATCATACAAAACAAGATACTTCATTACCCAGAAGTGAAAAATGCAGAAGTTAGTGACAAATGCTCAGATGACTTTATGAAGCCTCTCCCTGCTAGTAATGTTAATAACCTATGTTACAAAAGTTGCATGATTAACTTTCTATCAAATGATCACAACAGATTCCTTGGAAAAGAAAATTTGCGCTATCATTACAGATTTTCAACAAGTCCAAAGGCCACCTCTTTGAGAAATCGGGTATTGTACTTGTACAAAAATCATCAGCTGAATGAACTTCAAACCATTTACTCATCTTTCCAACAAGAAGACCAGAATCAAGAAAACATAAATAACCAAAATATGAATGATCCCACTGGAGAACCTCAAACAAAAAGAACAAGGACATTTATTCCACGGAAGAAAATTCTGACAAAAGAAATGGCTTTGCAGACTATTTCAGGACAAAATGTGGAAAATATGTTCAAAAAAGTAAATTTATATGATAACTACAAGAAAAATCTTTTACAGAATCGAAGTTTTATTATCCAGGTTTACGATGAAGAGAAAGTTATTGCAATTATGAATGATTATGATGATGAAAGTGGGGAATTTAGAAGCTCTGATTATGTAAAAACATCAAGGGATCTTTTCGAGAACGGTTATTTTTACACTTGCAACTGTCGTATCTATCGTACCTTGTTGGAATCCCTGGATAACAATATGGAACAGTTTGATGCTCTGGATGAAAATGGTATTAAATGCATGCATTGTCGTTTTTTGCATCAAGAGGTATCACCAAATTTGGAAAGGAATGAGCAAGCAACCGTAACAAACATTCAAGTAGTCATACAAGATGCTCTGTTATACAAGGATAGGAAAATTATTGAATTGCCAACTACAAGACCAGGAACCAAAAAATTTTCAATTTTGATAGATGATGACATTTCATTAGTTCATTTGACATTCAATTCACGTCTTCAGCGCTATATAGTTTCCTGCTTGAATGGATTATATAAAAGTAAAAAAGGTTGCAAGAAAAATGTTGACTGTCTTAATACTGATCAAAATTTATGTGTTCATTTGTCTGAGCTGAAGAATGCTCCTCATTTTTGGACAGAATTTAGCAAACCTGAAGCTGCAGTGAACACTGAAAATGATGAGAATATACAGCTCATTGACCAGGAAATTCAAGAAATTACTGGCAATGCCATAGAAGAAGAAATTCCTACTATGAATTCCTGTGACTCTAATTTTGATGTGACTAGTGGACTTTGGTCATTTCCATGCATAAGTAGTCATAAACCACGAAAACAACAAGATCCCAATCTAGTTCAGAATATACAACATCGTTATATATTGGGCGCTCTTAACTTAAACAATGTTGAAAATGGATGCATTAAAGGTCCACATCTTATTCCAGATATTCCAACTTCAGTTTGTCCATGTGGCGCAGGATGGACAAGTAATCAGCAGCTAAATGGTGTAACTACATTTTCCAGAGTACTCACTATCTATACAAAAATAGCACCAGTACAGTGTCAGGTATATAGCAGAAGCTGTGTTAATGAACAATCACCATGTAAAAAAGACTGGGATGAAGGAGATAAAGAATGTTTACATGTAGTTACCCGAGATACTGCAGCTGGAGATGAAATTGGTTGGGCATTTGTAAACCAGGTTTTGTCCACTAAAATAACCTTTTCAGCATTCTGTGATTTAAAAACTAAAGACTACAAAAAATGCAATCCTAATTTCAGGTCATTTATGGATTCATCTGTATTCATAAAGTGGTGGTTTAGTTGGGCATCTAATATGAAGATTGACTTTAGGAAACCTTGTCCTATCTGCAAATTTAGACCTAAACAACTTGCTTGTGATGGAACGAAAGTTGGTATTGGATTCAGACATGCTTCTTTTGATGAAATAAGTAAACCAGATAATCCTGACAATATACTTCCTACATTACATCGTAGAATGGCAAGATGCTTCCTTTTCGACAGAGTTGGAGATAAAGAACAACTTAATACTGCCAGACACCATTTGAACTACTTAGCGAAGTTAAACCTTGATAAAGTTCCACCTCAGGAAATATTATCTGATGAAGAAACTCAGCAGAGAAACAACATACTACTAGAAATATTGGACAACTCAGTAAGGCCTTCTTTCGAACGCTTTCTTAATAACATGCCAGATGTGGAAAAGATATCTTATGCCTTCATATTGCATATGCTTTGCACTACTGCACCAGTTATCAGTTTAATTCCCTATTCGTACTTAAATAATCTAACTGAATTATTAAACCACATTAGTGGCCTTAATATAAATGCTGCTGGAAATGGCTTTTACAACAGAAAAATGTATGAAATGAGAGAGTATGCTCCAGAATTAAGAGATTTGATTGCTTCATCCATGCTTAGTCATGCCAATCCTCAAGGAAATAATTTTGTTCCCGATGATGTCATTACATTTATTCGATATTTGATCAAATGTGTTGCAGATATGGAGATCACTCAACCAGATCCTGCAAATCCACAACCAGGAACATATAACCCAGCTAAGTATGGAAGAGCTTACTACTTTTCAGAAACTGGTGAAAAATTGCGCCCCGTTAGAAAATTTACCATTGACGGTGAGAAGAGAAAAAAAACCAGCATATGATGACCCACCTCTTCCCCATGACAACTGTGAGAAATATTTTTCCAAAACCCAAATTTCAGCAAGAGGTACATCAACATTGTTTTTATGGTTTTGTCCAAGTCATGGTCACTGTTATGGTTTTCATATGACCAATGCAGAAGGCAGAAAAGATCCATCAGCCTCCCTTTACTCACATCTGGAGCATCCACCCACGGATATCTTCTATGATTTTGCTTGTAATCTACAGGAGTATTGCCTGAACAGAGAAAGTTGCTATTACCGATGTGTTCGTTTCTTCCATGATATTTTCCATGGGTATTCTCATAAATGCTCATGTGCCTATAGATCTTCAAGACTCCAAGGATTTGACACAATAAACTCTGAAATATGTGAACAATTCAACAGCTTTATCCAGTGTATAAAGTCCTCAGCACGCCAAATGACCCAGGAACATTTTTGTTTTTATCTGCAGTTTTTTTTTACATGAATGGAATGAGAGAAAAAGGGAAAAATATCAGAAACGAATTGCAGTGGCAGTTGCTGTAGGTCCATAACTACCAACAATACCCATAATTATTCTTCAAAATGTAATACCAAATAATTTTTCTTGCACATGGATATTTTACTTAAATGCAATATAATTCTCGTCATTTACCAATATACATGTAGCATATATATTTATATATATAAAGATATCTCAAAAAAAAATTCTGAATGATGTAAAAATTTATATCAATTGCCTTTTGCCTCTTATAATGGTATAATTAATGTGTTTATTAACAGGTAAACCTTGTCACCAACAATACCTCATTGAGCAGATTTTTCATAATTCAGTTGTAATTAGTTGAATGTCCATTAGTGTTTTAATTGTTCATTAAGTACATTTTTTTAGTAAATACAGCACATGATTACAAAATTTTGGTCAGCATTTAATTTTTGTTTGTTTGTTAAATGTCCTTTAGTATCATAGTATCATATATTTTTGGGGTTGAATGTCCATTTGTATCATAATGTTATATATTGTATTGGTAAAATTTTCCTTTGTTTGTTAAATGTCCCTTAGTATCATAATGTCATATATTTTTGTTGTTCTTTAAGTACATTCTTTGGTAAATGCAATGGTAATATCATAGTGTTAAATATTTTTTGGTTAAATGTCCCTTTGTTTGTTAAATATCCCTTAGTATCATAATGTAATATATTTTTGTAATTCACTTAGTAAGTTAGTGGTTGTTTTTGGTCAGCATTTCAAAGATTTGTTTTTTTTTTATTTAAATGTCCCTCAGTATTAAAATGTTATACATTTTATTGGTTAAATTTCTCTTTGTTTGTTAAAAGTCCCTTAATATCATAGTGTCATATATTTTTTGGTTAAATCTCCCTTAGTATTATAAAGTAATATATATTTTTTGGTTAAATTTCTCTTTGTTTGTTAAAAGTCCCTTAATATCATAGTGTCATATATTTTATGGGTAAATCTCCCTTAGTATTATAAAGTAATATATTTTTTGGTTAAATCTCTCTTTGTTTGTTAAAAGTCCATTAATATCATAGTGTCATATTTTTTTTGGTTAAATCTCCCTTAGTATTATAAAGTAATATATTTTTTGGTTAAATTTCTCTTTGTTTGTTTAAATTCCCTTAATATCATAGTGTCATATATTTTTTGGTTAAATGTCCCTTAGTATCATAAAGTAATATATTTTTGGGTTAAATCTCCCTTAATATCATAGTATCATATATTTTTTGGTTAAATCTCCCTTAGTATAAAGTAATATATTTTTTGGTTAAATCTCCCTTAGTATTATAAAGTAATATATTTTTTGGTTAAATCTCCCTTAGTATTATAAAGTAATATATATTTTTGGGTTAAATCTCTCTTTGTTTGTTAAAAGTCCATTAATATCATAGTGTCTTTTTTTTGGTTAAATCTCCCTTAGTATAAAGTAATATATTTTTTGGTTAAATCTCCCTTAGTATTATAAAGTAATATATTTTTTGGTTTAATCTCTCTTTGTTTGTTAAAAGTCTATTAATATCATAGTGTCTTTTTTTTGGTTAAATCTCCCTTAGTATAAAGTAATATATTTTTGGGTTAAATCTCCCTTAGTATTATAAAGTAATATATTTTTTGTTTAAATCTCCCTTAGTATTATAAAGTAATATATTTTTTGGTTAAATCTCCCTTAGTATTATAAAGTAATATATTTTTTGGTTAAATCTCTCTTTGTTTGTTAAAAGTCCATTAATATCATAGTGTCTTTTTTTTGGGTTAAATCTCCCTTAGTATAAAGTAATATATTTTTTTGTTAAATCTCCCTTAGTATTATAAAGTAATATATTTTTTGGTTAAATCTCCCTTAGTATTATAAAGTAATATATTTTTTGGTTAAATCTCTCTTTGTTTGTTAAAAGTCTATTAATATCATAGTGTCTTTTTTTTGGTTAAATCTCCCTTAGTATAAAGTAATATATTTTTTGGTTAAATCTCCCTTAGTATTATAAAGTAATATATTTTTTGTTTAAATCTCCCTTAGTATTATAAAGTAATATATTTTTTGGTTAAATCTCCCTTAGTATTATAAAGTAATATATTTTTTGGTTAAATCTTTCTTTGTTTGTAAAAAGTCCATTAATATCATAGTGTCTTTTTTTTTGGTTAAATGTCCCTTAGTATCATAAAGTAATACATTTTTATGGTTAAATCTCTCTTAGTTTGTTAAATCTCCCTTAATATCAGTATCATATATTTTTTGGTTAAATCTCCCTTAGTATTATGAAGTAATATATTTTTTGGTTAAATCTCTCTTTGTTGGTTAAACATCCCTTATTATCATAGTGCCATATATTTTTTGGTTAAACTCCCTTAGTATTATTTTTTTGGTTACATCTCCCTTAGTATTATAAAGTAATATATTTTTGGGTTAAATCTCCCTTAGTATTATAAAGTAATATATCTTTGGGTTAAATCCTTTTTTGTTTGTTAAAAGTCCCTTAATATCATAGTATCATATATTTTTTGGTTTAATGTCCCTTAGTATTAGTGGGGAGTTGTCTCATTGGAAATTATACCACATTTCCTCATTTTTGTATTAATATATTTTTTAAACATTTGAATGATAAAAATTATTTTAAGAAACATTATACTTACTTCCTTCCCTGTATGGATGTTGAATAGTCGAGACCAGCTCTTTTCGGCATCCATACTCTACCTCCTCTGCTGTTGAGGCTGCATTCACCTGCAGCAGGGTAGATTTAACCCCCAGATAGTTTTCTCTTTAAATTCTTCTATAATTAAAATAACTGTTTCCTATAGGCAATTCTGTCAGTGCTCAAATTTAAAAAAATAAAATTAACATTGCCAAGCACAATCATAGATAACCCCTTAATGGTAACCTGTGATTTACATAATTTTGTTAATATATGTCCTTTTTGTCTACATTTGTATACTTATGTGCTACTCTTTTATCATACTACATTATTTTGAAATTGATTGTAACACCAGATTGTGATCATATAAATGGTTTGTGAATTGCAAATATAAAATCTTTTCAAACAAGCATTCTGAGAGTATTGCATGGCAATACATAGTCCCCTACCGGTTAAAAATTAATTGTACTGGAACAAAATGCTAACTTGATCTATAACTGGTCATGGTGTAAACTATACAACAAATATCAAGTCAATATCTTCAAGCATGACGAAAAAAAGTGTGGAAAACTGATAATTTAAGTGAATTTTCTAAGTCCAAGGACCATAACTCTGCAAAAAATCATCAAACAGAAACGAAATTCAAACTTGGTCTGTAACTTGTCATGATAAAACAACGTACCAATTATCAAATCAAAATCTTCAAGAATGACGAAAAAAAGTGCAGAAGACTGAATATTTGAGGGAATTTTTTAAGTCCAAGGACTATAACTCTGCACAAAATTATCAGACCGGAACAAAATTCGAAATTGATCTGTTACTTGTTATGATAAAACAACATACCAAATATCAAATCAATATCTTCAAGCATGAAGAAAAAATGTGTGGAAAACTGATTTGCCGGACTGACAGAAGGACAGACGGACGGAGTGCAAACCTAAAGTCCCCTTCGACTTCGTCGATAGGGGACTAATAAACAGGTTGAATTTTATACTTGCTTTATAATGATTTAACATATAGAACTGTTTAGCAAAAAGGATTTCCAGTAGGGAACCTCATTAGGTTGGATTTAGAGCAACAAACAATTCTATATTCTATCTGTAATAGAATGGTATAAAATGATGAAAAAACAAATAAATGAATATATTGTATTCTTACATATTTTGAAAATGGTACTATATCGTCCACCATTTTCAGCACTGAAGCCAGCTTCAGTACCACAGCCATATCTTCATTTCCATAGAGGATAATGGACACTGCATTATAAATGCAATTTCCATTTGCTGTGGACTGGTAAGCTGTACGTTCCCCTATGGAAAGTGGTATAAAGTCTTTATACCTGAAAAAAAGGACATCTCTAATATTACCTGATTTTCAAAGAATATTAACTATAAACAAAGCAAGATAAACAAGGATTTATTTCTAATCTTGATGTAGGATTTAATTAAGGCTATATTGAAAAATCATTTTAAAACCAGCACTTACATGTAGGTTATCAACTCAAATGCTATGCCCACTAGATGAAACTTGATTAATAACTTACTTTTTGTTGGTATCTATTAAGGTGTTGGGCCTCCAAGTATTTGACAGGGTGTCTGGAAAAACAGGAATGTAATCCCAAATAACTTCTGCCAAACCCCACAAATCAAACCACAACGTAATCAAACACCACACTTTTAAACATTTTTCTTCTAATGTAATCTATATAAATATAAATGAAAACAATTGTTAAATGAAGGAAACAAATTTAAAAAAAAACAACTGTTTGTTACTATATATGTGATCAATAAGTTTTAGCAATTAAAAACATTTCAGACATTTCGAAATAAAAACCAAGGAATTTTCTAAGCGCAGCAAGAAACAAGGAAATGTTTTACAGTTATACACAAATGACTTTTTCAAATAGGTGAAGTGCTTGTAAGATCTCAGAATATACATGATACCATTTTTCAAGTGTGTCTCTTATAAAAATGCATCATTTATTATATTTGTCATTTATTTTGTCATCCTGAACATGCATGAAATATTCAACACTGGATGTTTAGCAACCAATTTTCAATCAATCAATAATTTTTTTGTGTTAATGGTATATACCCAACATTTATGTTTCAACTGACCAATTTACAGCTTTCTTTGTACATTGTATTTAGTTAAAGTATAAGGCCATTACAGTGGCCTCTATGTGTAATGGTTTAAAATAAACTTCAATTTGAGCATTATAAAAAATTTAAGTTATATTTTACCTCTTCCATGAAAATTGAGTGTATTCTTTCTCTTTTCACCTATAAAATACACTTCAATCTTTAAATGTTTTCAGTGCATATACTTTTATATAAAAAAAACCCACACATTTTGTAATATTAACAAAAACATAATAAAAAATGAAGAAAAATTTTCCTGCTACTTAATATCTCCTGTTGCTAAAAAAGTAAAAGACTTCCTTAAAAATAATGTGACTGTTCATATTGATTTTCCTACTTTACCATGTTGTTTACCGAGCCTGGAAAATTTAGGTATGCTCTGGGTGAAGTTATCAATCGTTAAATAAACTTATTCTAAAAGGATAACAGTTTAACACTGTAATTAGATCTTTAAATATTGTTTATATTGGAATAAATATTGACTATTCCATCAGTAAATTAAAATCACACTAAATATATATGCACATCTGTTGATGCCTGTATCGTGTTATTTCACAAGGTCATGATTTTCTCTAAATGTTAATGACTGTTAATGATGTATTTACACTAAATCCAGTGTAATTCATTGGTTGTCGTTTGTTGTCATAATTGTATATTGTTTTGTACACGAATCAGGCTGTTAGTTTTCAAATTTAATTTAACATTTGTTATTTCAGGGCCTTTTATGGCCTGATAAGCGGCATGGGTTTTGCTCATTGTTGAAGGCTGAACAGTAAACTATAGTTGTTAACTTCTATGGCATTTGGTCTCTCGAAAGTTGTCTCATTGGCAATCATACAACATATTTAATTTTTTTTTAATATACATGATATATACAATGAATGACTTTAATTATATATGAAAAATTAAAAGTTCCTAAACATAAACAGACATAAAAAACACCTGTATCGAATGATCTTCATATCTAACGTGTGTTTCCCCCTACGGCTCTTGCCCTTTCTCCTGTCTCTTGAACTATTACTCCCCCTTGTTCTTCATCGGTCTCCTGCACTACCTTGTCCCCTTCCCCTGTTTCCTGAGGCTCTATTTGATCATGGTGGCCAGTTTCTATACATTCTTCTTCTGTACCATTTATATACTAAAAGATATTCAAAAGCAAGTTGCATTACAACTGATTGAGGAGACTACAAAAGTTGATGGATGGTGTAAAAGATAAGTAAAATAATGATTGTTAATTTTAACACTGTTCCATCAAAAGATTATGCCCATGGAATACACCAATTTTAAAATAGTTAAGTGTGTTGCTGAAAGAACAATTAAACCCAAAGAGCCTGTATCTTAAAAGAAATATGTAAATAACATAAATATAAGCAAAAGGCATTACAAAGGATTAACTGCCCAAGGGAAAAGAAATGGGTCAACATGCTGATGTTTTCTAAGCCAAAGGCTTTCAATATTACAATACACAAGAATCACTGTACATTAATAACAAAACAATGTTATACAAAAATGGCATATAATACAATAATTCAACACTGTAGGGATATATATATTCAGTAATCTGATGACAAGTCCATCAAAGTTTTGATGTATGACATGTCATTTACTCTTGCTTCATAGCCCCCTTTATCAAGGTTAAATAGAAACTTACTATATCCTATCAGTAAGTTATAATGGTAAACCATTAAGAATGTGCTATTATAAATGTTTTCAACTTACAAGGATATAACAATGGAAACCATACGTTATTAATATTAAAGAAAGGAAAATACATAAAAATATATTGTGTCATACTAGATAGAGAAGTCAGTGGTCCAGCTGATTGGGATATCAGCGATCTCATGATGCCAACATCCAAATCATAGACCTGAGTTTCCAGCACAGAAGAGGATGGTATCGAAACAATATTATTATCATCTGGAGCCTGATCTGGAGTGTTGTCTGCCTCTGAAAAAAACCCACTTTATCAGTATCATAAAATTATGGTTTAACAGCTTTAAGTTACAATATGCCCCTTTTCCCTCCCACTAAAAAGATTTATAAATACAGGTAAATATTTATATGTGTGATTATAAATACAGATATAACATAAGAGTTTTACTACAATAATTTCAGTAATTTTACACATTACTAATTGAGGTAAAAATACTTATCGTCCATGCAGAAAATCTAAATAAAACAATTGTATACTTAAATCTTCCATATTAAAACATTACATTATGAAACATAAGAAATATATATAAATAAAGAAAAATTACTTCCCTTTGTCAATCGTAGACTGGTTCTATGCTGGACAAAATAGGCTTTTGACCACTCAGCATAAGTTGAAAGTGATATATCAGCGTTTTAACAAATTTTTATTGAAAAATAACTTCAGTTATCAAAAGTATTTAGCTTAAAAAAATTATTAAATGATTTGAAACACTTAAAGGTTACACACATAACGCATAGATACATTTGCTCTTTCCACTAGATCTCCATTGTCATTAAAAATTAATGTCCCTCCTAAGGAAGACAACCAAAAAAGTTCTCTAATTACAGAAATTGGCAATCAGACTAGTGGTCCATGGTCTTCTGTTTCATTGTGGTATAAGAGTCTATGATGTGTTACTTACAGATATATAGGTCCATGGTCTCATGTGTAATATGCATATAAGACCATGGCATGTTTATGAGTCTAATTGGTCCATGGTCTTATGTTTCATTGTGGTATAAGAGTCCATGATGTGTTAATAACTTATGTATAGGTCAATGGTCTCATGCTTAATATGTATTAAAGAGACCATGGCATGTTACTTACAGTCTAGTTGGTCCAGGGTCTTCTGTTTCATTGTGATCCAGGATGTGTTAATAGATATATAAATTATAAGTCCATGGTCTCATGTGTAAAATGCATAAAAAGAGACCATGGAATGTAACTGACAGTCTTATTGGCCCACACTCTACTGTTTCTTTGTGGTATAAGATTCCATGATATGCTTATAACAGATATATAGGTCCATGGTCTCGTGTGTAATGTGTATAAAATAGACCATGGCATGTTAATGACTGTCTAATTGGTCCATTGTGTTCTGTTCCATTGTGGTATAAGAGTCCATAATGTGTTACTAACAAATATATAGGTCCATGGTCTCATGCGTGATATGTATAAAAGAGAAAATGATATGCTTATAACAGATATACAGGTCCATGGTCTCATACGAAATATGTATAAAAGAGGCCACAGCATGTTAAGTTCTAATTGGTCCATGGTCTTATGTTTCATTGTGGTATAAGAGTCCATGATGTGTTAATAACATTTGTATAGGTCCATGGTCTAATGTGTAATATGTATAAAAGAGACCATGGTATGTTACTGACAGTCTAATTGGTTCATTGTCTTCTGTTTTATTGTGGTTTAAGAGTCCATGATGTGTTGATAACAGATATATAGGTCAATGGCCTCATGTGTAATATGTATAAAAGAGACCAGGGTATGTTACTGACAGTCTTATTGGTCTTTGGTCTTCTGTTTCATTGTGGTATAAGAGTCCATGTGTTAATAACATATGTATAGGTCCATGGTCTCATGTGTAGTGTGTATAAAAGAGACCATGACATGTTACGGTCTAATTGGTCCATGGTCTTATGTTTCTTTGTGTGTTGAAAACAGATACATAGGTCGATGGTCTCATTTGTAATGTGTATAAAAGAGACCTTGGCATGATACAATCTAATTGGTCCATGGTTTTATGTGTTATTGTGGTATAAATGTCCATGATGTGTTAATAACATATGTATAGGTCCATGGTCTCATGCGTAATATGCGTAAATGAGACCATGACATGTTACTGACAAGTCTAATTGGTCCATGGTCTTCTGTTGCATAGCTTTATAAGAGTCCATGATGTGTTAATAACAGATATATATGTCCATGGTCCATGGTCTCATGTGTAATATGCATAAATGAGACCATGACATGTTACTGACAGTCTATGGTCCATGTTTTTATGTTTCTTTGTGGTTTAAAAGTCCATGATGTGTTATTAACGTATATATATGTCCATGGTCTCATGTGTAATATGTATAAGAGACCATGGCATGCTACTAACAGTTTAATAGTTCTATGGTCCTATGTTTTGTTGTGGTAAAAGAGTCCTTCATGTGTTTCTAACAGATATATAGATCCATGGTCTCATGTGTAATTTGCATAATAGTGGAAATGGCAGTCAACAATATCTAGTCTGATTAACCATTTTACAGTCTTAATAAAAAAAAAAAGTGCAAGTAAGGGGGGGGGGGGCGTACGCCCTCTACGCCCCCTCTGGATCCGCCACTGACCAGTGCTGATTATTCCCTCTCAAGGTTATAAACTGTTTTTTTAAATTTGAAAAATGTTATCATCATGATTATTCACAATCCTAACCACAGCCCAGTAAAATTTTCCTCAAAAAAGCCATCATTAATTTATAGCAGACAAATTTTCTGTGTTTATTCATTCTGGATCTTACAAACATTTTTAGTGGTTGTAATTAATCATCTCAGAGTTCTCGAAATCTTTTTTTTTCTGGTGGTCATTGGGACCACCAAGACTAAAAATCTGGTGGTCCTGTAATTTTACTTGAATTTATCAAACACCTATTACTTAAATGAAAGTCATTGCTCAATATATATAAACTCCATCCTAGTTTCTATGTTATATATTTGGTTGTTTTCAATGAAATTTTGAACTTTGCATTGTTCACTAATTTTTATACTGTGTCAGTTTGATAACATGTTTGATTTCATTTTTGTTTTATGTCTCATTCATAATACTACCTGTAGAATACCTGTAGAGTCGTTTAAGGGCTCATGTGTAAGGAATTTCAATAAAAATTTGTAATAAAAATAATTTATCACTAGAACTGGTACATAATATCTTCCCAATGATGATCAAGTTGTATTTTAAAGTTATCAACGGTCTTTGCAGACACAACATTTTGGGTAAACTGTTCCAATCGTTTATAATTCGTTAGGAAAAATGTCTTTTACGAAATGATGAATTACATCGAGGCTTAATAAGTTTAACAGGTTGGGTGGACTCAAGTAAGGAAAAGTGGGGTATTCCCTGTTTTCATGTTACACCCCAGTTTTCTGGTGTTAAAAAAAAACCAGTATACAGGGACTTCTTTTTTCCTATTTTATGGTATGAAATCTACAAAAGTGCACCTTTTACATCTGATAACAATGTTTTATGTTAGCAGGTGATTTTATTAGTTCAAAAATCAAACTAATTTCAAGTCTATGTGGTACTCAACTCACAACAAAACAACTCCTTTCTTCACCAATTCATACCTTGATCATCAATAATTCAATTATGAGATGACAAAAAGATAGGTTAATCAATTGGGCATTTAAATTCAATGAATAGAAACTTTCAATAGAAGTGAACATAATTCAGTAATGGTCAGTTACACCTGGAGCATGCATCTTGGTCAGTTGATTCCTAAACAAAAGATTTGTATGTTTTTGAGTTCTAGAAAAAGAAAGGCCTCACTTATTCATGCTTTGTTGTTCATGAAATACTCTAAGTATTTACAAATACTACTGATTCATGCCATAAATTGAAATAGAAATTGGAAGTCCCTGTAAACTGGGATGTTCCCTGAAAACAGCGAATACCCCACTTTTCCTGACTTGTTCCCAACCTGTGTCCACTACAACCATTTACAGTGAAAAGTGCGTTAAAATTAAGAAATAAAAGAAGTCTGATGTTTATTCCTCAGCTGCAATTTTTGTAATATAGAAAAAAATGTTCAGTCTCTGTCTGTTCAAATACAAAGTCCTCTGGTTTAGCAACCCCTTTGAACGAAATGAGCCATGTAGATGCCATGATGACTTTTACGTCTGGTTATTTTTCAAAAGTATTACCGTAATTTTAAGCTAGAGGCTACAAAAGTTAAATTACAGTAGTAACCAGTTCAAAAACTATCTGAATACCAAAGAAACCGACGACTGGTTCTTTTTCAAATGTAGTACCGTAATTTTGACCTATACAGTTAAAAGTGTTTACATTAGCAACCAGTTCAAAGCTATCTGAATACTGAAAAGATGTGAAAACAAAAGTGAACAACCACCAAAATGTTGTCGGTCATCAGGACTGCCACTGCACATGCAATTTTCGGTCCTGGCTGATTTTTGGCGGTCAGGACTGATGATTTTCGAGAACACTGTCATCTTACAAGTTACATAGAAGATATATATGACTGCCCTCCATTAGTTATGCTTACTTAACTCAGTTTGTATAGCAGTGGCTTACTATGGCAGGGGTTTTAGGTTCAAATCAAGGCTGAATCAGTAATTTACTTTATCAGACAAATCATGCTTTCCGGTTACAATCGATGTCTAACTAAAAGACCAAGGGTGTTTAAAAGTAAAACCTACAGCCAGAGTAAGTGTTGTTGATATTGCCCGTATGTCATTAGGTATGTTGACGCGGGGGAGTGTAGCCGTGCTTCCCCTTCGGTACCTCGAATGACCAAATAATACCGTTATTATCCGAATAACACTTGAAATTTTAATATTAGCACATATTGATGACTTTTAAACATTGATTATTAAATGATATTATATTATAAGTGTATTTTATAGCTTAAAAATGATTTACAGAAAGCAGGTAAGTTCATAAAGATCATTATAAATATAGTGTGTACATCCAACATGGCGACCAAGGAAATAACAATGGGAAGAATAAAAGAATGATTGCATAGGATCCCTCAACCTGTTCATTTTAGACCACAAAAGTGGAGCCCTCACGCCACTTCAAGGCATTACCCCTTCCCCTTAGTCTCACCTTGTCAATACTTAACCATGTGCTTGTGGATTACTAGTTTAGCTGAGTTGGTAGAGCAGCGACTTTCTTCTGTGCAATGGGTCACAGGTTCAAATCACGATTGGTTCAGTAATTCATTTTGAAAAGCAAATAATGATCTCTGGGTTACGTATTATTACTATAAATCATAGTTAATCATATTAAGTTAAAAGTCATGTACAGCTGTGGGAGCGGTACAGCCTCTTTAAAAGGCAAATCCTATTTATTGTCGCGCGATCTTTTTATGCCTTATCCTAGTCTTTTCTTATATTTTTTCAATTCATTTATGTCATTGTTTGGGGTATCTGTAGCCGTAGATAACTTCAGTAGGCGACGGTATAAAACTATGCAAATAACTTTTGTAAGTGCTTTTTAGAGAAATCCAATTAAAAAAAACATCACTGTAAGTTTCCTCTGCCACTAAAATACCTAATTGTTCTCCTTCTTCTGACTTGCCACCGCTTAAAAACACAGGGGTTTCGATGCAGGACCGTCGCCATCTTAATTACAGCTTCACCATAATGCATAAGTATCTGCATCTCCGATTGGCTCCCTGAAAGTGACGTATTAGATATCTTTATTTGGCATTTGCAGGATATTTCCCAACTATCTAGTGCATATATAAGACTCAGATTATTACATGTATTTGCAAGATGTAAAATATATCTTTCACATTTTTTTTAGTTTTAGGTTCCACCTACCATTGTAGAAAACTGATTTCATTGCGGCTAGTCTGTAAAAAGGATGTCAATTAGAGAAGCCAATACTTTTGGGACATTGATTTAAAAACAACAAATAGCCGTCTATTAGAGGGGTACAATGTAACTTATTAGTCGTAGATTTGGAATCTTATTTCATTATGAAGTCAGATTTGGACATCGACCTAAGTAATGGAGGTCGATTAGAGACTGGACGTCCATCTGAGTCTTATATATGTATACATATATAATTATTGATTCAGTAGTGATGGTAAATAGACACTGATAAGTCTAATATCATTTTATAGTTTTGAATGTTTGTTCACCAGTTTACTATGATTAGGTGGAAGTATGTTCTTATTTCAAACAGAGGGGCACTCAGCCTATATCAATTTGTGCATGACGCGATTGTTATTTGCTAGGTAACGAATTATTTTACCACAACTTTGTAAAAGTTTTAACCGGTGTATATACTGAAAATACGAAAAAAAAATCATGTCATTTTCAGGACTACTGATCCATCCATGTAGTATGGCATGTTTGTGAGATGTGGTTAATATGGAGGATGGATGTTCATGAAGGACCTGTAGTACAAAGTATATCACTGGATTGATCTCTTTGTCTAAGTGTATTATTAAAGTGCTTTGCTTTGAGCTCCGTTCATTGTTATGCAAATCATTCTTTGTGAAATAAAGATTGGACAGCTGACAACTCTTATCTGCACAAGGAATTGTTGAAGTAGTATCCATTCTATGTAAGTAGTAATGGGGCATTTATATACATTTGAACCAAACAATTTTTGTCCGAAGCCAAATTAAAAAAAAGGACAAATTTACCAAACAATACTACTCGTGCTACTAGTAATATGATGCTAGGTGGTTTTGTTACATTTATTTTAGACATCTGTACTGCCAACTGACGACTCAGTCCTGAGTGTAAATGGTCATTCAGTATGTAAAAAAAGGAAAAAATTCCTAAGGCCTATCTGGCCTTATTGATTTCTAAATTTAAATTTCATTGTTTAACATATATCATTCATTCGTTAATTTCTTAATTTGTGTGAATTAATAGTTAATTATAGCACTTTCATACCACAACAAAAGTAGCGTACTGTACTGGTATCACTTATATTTGTATTCACGTAACAAAAAAATCTTGAAACAAGAATATTTTTGCAATACCTTTTTCATTTTGAATATTATAACTTTTTAGACAATTAGAATATATTAAGTAGATGTTCATATCCAATAGAAAGTTTATCAGTTAACTTTTGTAGCAGTTATATGAGTCTTTGAAGCATGCTCACAAAGGTTCTTTTGTTGATATCATTTTCATGCTGGTCAAAACCTTTTTTTTTACTTTGACCATGCTTTAGAGAAGACATTTTCGAAGAAAGAACTAATAAAAAATAACACAGAAGTTTACTTTCTTGCTCATCTAGCCCCAAGCATCATGTCAGGCATTTTCATTACTTAATACCATTAGATATCTTCTAATCTGAGAAATACTTTGAAATCTTTTACTAATGATACTGGGAAGA